CAATTATTCCAAAAAACATGCTGACGACACTACCCTCATTCTCAACGGCAGCAGACTCTCATTTCTTGCAGCATTTAATACACTTGATTTCTTTTTAAAAATATCAGGTTTGGCGATAAATAAGAGTAAGACTAAATTAATTTGGATTGGCGCAAAAAAGTTTAGCAATGAGGTATTTCACCATGTAAGATGGAAGATGAATTGGGTTTATGACAGTTTTAATTTGTTAGGTATTGAATTTACATTGAAGTTGCAGGATATGATAAAAATAATTTTGAACAGTACATCGTGAAAATTAAAAGAATGTTGCAACAATGGGAAAGGAGACCTTTGACGCCCATTGGCAAAATCACTGAACTGAAAACCCTTGTTGTATACCCATGTTAAACCACCTATTCATTTCCCTTCCCAATCCAGATGAAACATACATGAAAACATTAAACACAATGTTCTTTCAATTTATATGGGACAAAAAGTCGGGTAAAAGTGAAAAGGAGTGTAATAACTGGTAACTATGAACAAGGTGGTCGTAAGATGTTAGATTTATTTGACTTTATTGCTTCTCTTAAATGTACTTGGATTAGAAGAATTAATTCATCAGACAGACAACATATTATGGTCCACTTCTCCAAGCTATTTTTGATCGAGATGTAATAAGTTATATATTTGCTTTTGGGAACGCGTATTTAGACAAGCTTATTAAGGACTGTAGTAACTGTTTTTGGAAAGATGTTCTGGTTTCCTGGAAAGTAGTGATAACACGCTTACTAGAAAGAAAAAGTATAATATCTGTGGAGCCGATTTGGTATAATGATAATTTTAAGATTGGAGGTAAGCCTATGTTTATAAGGAATTGGTTTAACAAAGGCGTTAAAATTGTTGGCGATTTTCTTGAAAATAACAGAATTTTAACAAAGGAAGAATTTGAACAAAAATTTAGCCTACAAAACTGTGGTGAGCTTACATTTTACGGTATATGAAATTCTATTAAGCACAGGCTTATGAATAAAACACAAAACGATGTTCTTGAGATCACCTTTCATCCATTTTTGCCTCAAGCAATAGAGCTTCTTATCAAACATAGTAAAGGCTGTACAGACTTTTATCAAACTCTCTACAAGCCAGCTACACGGATGAAAAACGAAAAAAAAATGGAACGCAAAATCAAATTTTGATATGCATTGGAAAGATGTCTATAAGAACTGTTTCGAAACAACAAAGAACACCAAACTGCAGTGGTTCCAATACCGCATAATACATAGGCTCCTGCCTTTTAAATCATATTTAAAAACTATAGGGCTTGAGAACGATGACGTCTGGTCTCTTTGAAAATTTGGGAAGAACTGAAAGCTTACATCTTTCATAGAACGAATAAAAACATTACCTTTAATGAAAAATGCTTCCTTCTCGGCTATCCAACAAACCAAAACAGCCCAATTAATTTTGTTACTCTTCGTACGAAATTTTATATTTACAAAAGTTTCAAAAAGAAAGAATGTATGCGCCTTTCTTCACTCATAAATTACATAAAGGATCAATTTATAATAGAAAGATTCAATGCATTAAAAAAGCTAAATTTAACAAACTTTGAAAAAATGGGAAAATTGGTCAGACATGTTTGAATTTAATTAGTATTCATCTGTTTCAGCAAAATAATATATTGCACTTTTGTCTTGTTTAATAATCTATTGTATGTTTGATTGAATACATTGTGGTATCGATCTTTATTATTATTATTATTTTTTTATTTTTACATCTATTGTTCGTGAGATTATATACGTATATTCGTGTGTGTGTAAGAGAGAGAGTGAGTGTGCATTAACCATACTTAGGTATATGTACATTCCTGTCCTGAAATTTTTCAATTAAAAAAAAATTATTCCAAAAAAAAAAGGAAAGGAGCAGTATGACAGCCTGTACACGTTGAGGTAGATTTGTTTGATAGAATATGAAAGTCAGAATGGTTTTCTTCCAGGCATCTTGCGATGATGATGATGATGATGATGATGAGAGCCAATGCCAGTCAGTGATTTCATCCTTGTTTAACGTGGAGTTTCCTTTCCAAGTGGCTGTCATCGCCAACGCTGCTTTGAAAGCTTCGGCCTACCGTGGTGTTTGCGCAGCTGTTTATATACATGCTAACAGCGTATTTGTTACGGATCCACCTCTTTACACTTTGGCTCATACACCATGGCATTTCAGTCGTGGCAATGGCATGAATTGCACGGAGATGGCAGAAACACAAAATGGACAAAACACGACCCACAGCGTTGTAGCAATTTGGTCCATGGGGATTCACTTGCGGGAAGATATCCAGCAGTACAGCGAGGGTCTCAAGAGGCTCGAATCTTTCAAAGAAGAAGTTAACAGAGAGCTGCTCGCCAGGGACGAAAAGGTTACGTATGGCGGCAAGACGTATCAACTTCGTGTTTTGCTTAATGAAGGTTTGCATTGCGCAAACGTCACAACAAGGAATGGTTCCAAGATCATGACTCCAACGGCAACCAATCCAGGAGATGTCCCACGTTCTCGAGGGGAGGTTGCTTTCGCACCACCGACACATGCATTTTTATTTGTGGCATTTTGGTTTCAACATTACCATGAGCATTAAGTGTGAACTACGCTTCACAGACAGCACCAAAGCCGCAGTCTTTAAACACTTCAATGTGCATTGTTTAATTTTGTCTCCGAATGATAATTGCATTATGAAGATAATCTTGATAAGAACGGAGTATACATAATGTTTATTTGATTTATTTGATTATTTGGTCGGTCAGCTCCAAAATGCGATTGTAAATTCTTGTTAAGGGGATCAGGACGTCGTTATAAATTTGGCAAAATGGCTTTTTTGTTTCTTATATGTAAAACAATTACCTTAATATTATTGCAACAAAACACGTTAAGAGTACTGTTAGAACGATTTTATTTATCCAGTTTACCGGTCTCTATGTTCTGTAATATTTACACCTTTAATGTTATGGTTTAGAGCTAGCATGGACACCTCATGAAGCATGGACACCTGAAAAACTTAATATAGTTAGATCACACCATCTCCAAGCATTCGAAAGATAAACGTTATGTTAGAAAGTAAATTCCACAGAAACCTTCCACAGAACTTGTTACACTGCAGCGTGAAGTATCAAACTATGATAAATCCTGTATAAGTTACTATGAAAGTTATATCAAGGTGTAGATATTAGTGTAAGCTTCTCGTAAGCACAGAAGAAATGCTAAATCAGAGAAAAACACTGTTTTGCCTTATCACCGTGTTCTCATATCTATTCAAGAAGCAGAGAAGAAAGGCTAAATCAGAGAAAAACACTGTTTTGCCTTATCACCGTGTTCTCATATTTATTCAAGAAGCAGAGAAGAAAGGCTAAATCGGAGAAAAACACTGTTTTGCCTTATCACCGTGTTCTCATATTTATTCAAGAAGCAGAGAAGAAAGGCTAAATCGGAGAAAAACACTGTTTTGCCTTATCACCGTGTTCTCATATTTATTCAAGAAGCAGAGAAGAAAGGCTAAATCGGAGAAAAACACTGTTTTGCCTTATCACCGTGTTCTCATATTTATTCAAGAAGCAGAGAAGAAAGGCTAAATCGGAGAAAAACACTGTTTTGCCTTATCACCGTGTTCTCATATTTATTCAAGAAGCAGAGAAGAAAGGCTAAATCGGAGAAAAACACTGTTTTGCCTTATCACCGTGTTCTCATATTTATTCAAGAAGCAGAGAAGAAAGGCTAAATCGGAGAAAAACACTGTTTTGCCTTATCACCGTGTTCTCATATTTATTCAAGAAGCAGAGAAGAAAGGCTAAATCGGAGAAAAACACTGTTTTGCCTTATCACCGTGTTCTCATATTTATTCAAGAAGCAGAGAAGAAAGGCTAAATCGGAGAAAAACACTGTTTTGCCTTATCACCGTGTTCTCATATTTATTCAAGAAGCAGAGAAGAAAGGCTAAATCGGAGAAAAACACTGTTTTGCCTTATCACCGTGTTCTCATATTTATTCAAGAAGCAGAGAAGAAAGGCTAAATCGGAGAAAAACACTGTTTTGCCTTATCACCGTGTTCTCATATTTATTCAAGAAGCAGAGAAGAAGGCCAAATCGGAGAAAAACACCGTTTTGCCTTTTCACCGTGTTCTCATATCTATTCAAGTAGCAGAGAAGAAAGGCTAAATCGGAGAAAAACACTGTTTTGCCTATTATGGCCGTGTTCTAGATTATTCCAGAGAATATGTGTAAAGAAATCATTTAAAGGAAAGAATAAAGCACCATATTTAACCGGACTCTGGACTCGGTTGATCAATTACGTTTTACCCTTGTGAACAACAACTAAATCGCGGTAATAGTCCGAAGTCTCTTTTCGTTGCGTTATTCATCACTTAACTCGCTTTACGGGGTTCGACTGGGTGCCCAACCGTTAATTTTCCATTTAGCTGCTTTGTAAATTTGGGTGAGGTAGCAATCGCTTTTCGACGAAACTCCATTACTCGGCAAGCTATTCTCATGCAAACTGGCCTGGTTGACGACCACGGTGGCAGCATTTTAGAATAAGATAGGAGAAAAACATTGAAAGTGCGAAATTACAATCTCATCTTGATATTACCCAGGATACTAAAAAGGCTTAATGGAGGAAATAATACCAATCTAATTCACTGGAGACTGTAAAAACTGACATAATTAAAACTATCAAGACAATTTGACGATATATATTCAAACAAGAGGAAAGGGGCTTTAATACAGATGTTTCTCAAGACATTTAGTATGGTTAAGCGCCGTCAATTTCGCTTCCGTTCTTTCTTTCTTCAACACAGTTACTTCAGTTTCCGAAGCAAGGCGCTGGGCGATAAACACCACATTTTACGTATTTAATATGAAGGCGCTTTCAGTTCAGTGGAAAATAATAAATAAGATTGCTAAATAACCGAGAAAAATATTTTCCACCACGAAGATTACGAACCAACACTGCAGCAAAAAACCTTTGAAGACCAGTAAGGTGTTTATTATCCATTTTATTTCTCTCTTTCTTAAGAACTGAACCCATTAATAAATAGCTAATAGGAAAAATTACAACCTTAATACATTAACATGATTGGAGAATACTGAAAGCTGTCACTGAGGGTTACGGGGTCTCAGGGAGTGAAAATAGCAAAAAAGTCTGCGTCCCACCCCTTAATTGTCCACAACTTTCTACCACTACGTAGTGCTGGCGTCCATACAAAGTCCCCACATGGACTGCTAAACGTTACACAAGCATATCTACCCAGAACATGACCATTTGTCTACTATTCAACAAATAATAGGAACCAGTTTATCCCGGATAATGTTAAATTTATCACAAGGGCTCTGTAAAGCTACAGAAATCTTCATTAAGACAAAATAGCCCCCCTTCTGCTAAATTTAAGCACATAAAAGTACCCCCTTTTCTCTAAAAATACAGAAAAATTTGTTTCTTATTTATGTTAATTTACAATAGTTAAAATGGCCATACAAAAACAAGCAAATCTTCGTACAGTGCAACAAACAACACAAAGCCAAAAAAATTCGAAAAGTGAAGAAAAGCTAAGCGCAAATGAGAAATCAATCTCAACTACAAGTTTAAAACGCAGAAAAAATCTACCTTGCAAAATCTTTCTTCTTAGCTTTATTGTACCTGGAATGTTACAATTGTGTCTACGTGTCGGCTTCTCCAAGACAGTCGCCATTCAGGCAATTGTGTCAGATGTGACAGAGCGCAATCAGTCACTGATGCAGAAAAAACATTCTGACTAATGATCATTTGCAAAAGGTGTAAAAGCACAGTCAAGTGCTTTGCGGATAGGGCAGCATCAGCCTCTGATGTTTGTGTTTTATACAAATATATACTCTCTTTAATAAAATAAAATGTACACTGTGCTACCTGTACAAACAATTTTTATGTCAGTAGTGAATCACTCGATTGTCCATGGAGCCTATCCATTCCAGCATAGAGGAAGAGCACTTTTTTCATTAACACTCATGGTTTTTAAAAACAAGAAGCTACCACGAGTTGAAACCAAGAGTCTTGCACGTAACATGTTCGTAGCTCAATTTTGCTTTAATATTCACCCCATTTTGGGGAATTGTGCTTGCTTTGAAAACATTTCAGAAACATGGAAAGCTTTTCTCTAAAAAAAAAAAAAAAAAAAAAAAAAAACTCTACCCCCAGATAACGAAACTACTGACATTATAACCGCAAGAGAGAGAAACAGCAGGGAAGTGAACAAGAACAATGAAATTCAAACAACATTGTACAAGATACAGAAGTTGCCTCCTCTCGACTTCAACCTTTCACATTGGTAGTAAGTGATCATCTATATCCTGTTCATCGTCCCCTAGCTGGTCATCGCCAATCCCTTTGTACGCCCTTGAACTAAATCTCTGGCCTGAACGGCAGACGAGGTCACAGCCATCCTAGAACAGAGGGTAAAACTAGCCTAAGGTCTGGATGTAATAAAGCCTCTGAGGAATATTGCTCAATATTAGAAAATTAAATCTAAGACACACAGACTTGCTACGATAATACTAATAATAATAACAATAATAATAAATAGTCCATAGCAGAATAAGAGGATACCTATTCGTAGATGAATACAACCACTGAGGCACCCTCAATGGTTTTTCTTCTTTTTTTTCTTCTCCATATTACAATAAGTTTAGAACTGATACCAGTACTTACTATTACAGCAATGTATTTAGTATTTACACTCTCTCACGTTTAATTCCAAAAGAACTTTGCATATGAGAGAGAGAGAGAGAGACTCAGAAAGAGAGAGGGTTTGAGAATGTGTGAATGAATGCATGTGTACATGCTCACTAGCTTGCACATGTGCATGTGTCTGAGCACCCCAAGGCAGGTGCACACTTACTGCTTGTAAATTGCCAAAATCTTGCCAGAATGCATAGTTTGGAATCTGCTCCATGCCCTTAGCACCCCGCACAAACCTCTGGTATAATAAGCCCACTATGCAGTACAAGGCCATAAGAGAGATAAATCTGAAATTAAATCAAGTCAGTTTACTATCTTGGATAATATTTGTGTCCACTGAAGGTATATCTATACATATTATTTAACATAAAATGCCACTATGTTCACCAAAGCGACAAAACAAGCAGTTTGATAACCATAAATTCAAGTGTCTTGTGGGTTCAATAATTAAGCCCCCCCCTCCACTTCTCAATATCTTCATGCCAGTGCCAAGCCTTTATCATACTAACATTATGATGATGACAGATCCAGCACTTAGTCCCTGCAGTAGCTGGAACGACGGAACCTCTGTGCACACGGCGCTGTGGGAGTATTCAAACAGGTAATAACACTCATCTGTCTTCTGGTTATTTTCTTCTACCACTTTACCATGACCCTGAAAAGGAAAAGACTAAAGGTCATATTTAACATTCCTCTTCCTTTGATGAACTAATATAGAATACAACAGGATTTGGCATGAGTGAGTTGGAGTGGGCAGTTCTGCCTAGTCCACCCATGTGTTTGCATGCATGATTGTGCATGTGTGTGCACAAATGCCTATGTATGCATGTTGACAGTAGATTTTTACACGACAAACAGGTGTATGCACAGCCTTCAAATAATTATGACAATTAACAACAGGATGACTAGTCAATTATGCAACTCAGGGCCGGATCCAGAAATATTTTCTGACAGTATTCCAAATTATCTTTGTTACCATCCTCCATTTTTGACCGTCTTCCGACAGAAAAAAATAGATACCTGTCAATGTAAACTTGAAAATCTGACCGTCTTCCAGAAGACGGCCTGAATCCGCCCCTGCAACTGCCTTTCAGTTAGCTGTGTGAAATATCAACACTGGACAATGCACATGCATCCCCCAACCCTGCCCCTAGTCTATGCCCCCTTTTTGCAGGGAAACTGACAATGTTGATAGAACATGTTTGCATGGAAACAACTTAAAAGAATACATGTATATTAATCATTCAATAAAATAACCACCTCACTATCATTAGGATCACAGACAATCATGATGATAGCTTTTTTGTTCTCGTGTGTACAGTGGGTGCCGTAGTTTTCTCCCCCGCGATATTCTAGAGATATCCAGTCAGCTAGTAATGAAAGAAAACCAGATTATACAATATATTTTTGAAATCAATATTGCTTCAGGTATTTTATTTTTATTGAAAAAATAATATATTCCACTCATATATGTTATCTAAAAAAAATTTAAAAAAATAAATAAATAAATACAAAGATAAAATCCTAAATGTCTTATCAAAACCTTCACTAGATCCACGATTAAATGAAAAACACACTTATGCCAAAGGTAGTCAATGTTTAATGAAAAAAAAATTCCCACTAGAAATTTTTTCAAACCTTTAAAAGAGAAAAAGAATAAAATCCTTTATATTTTACCAAAACTTACATACGACCCATGGATGAATGAAAAACATAAAATACTTACTACCACCAGTTAAATGCGAGTCATTGTAAAATCCAATCCTGTGTTTATGTTTATCTTTCACCTTTACTTGGACTACTCCTACATTATCCATAGCGTCATCATCTGCTTTAGTACAGATTCCAATCTTGTATTCATATTCCCCTTTATCGTCTTTATCTACAAATCTAAAGGAAAACTGATATAAAGAAAAATGTAAAATTGATATAAATGACTAAGACCCCATTCCCACAGATTTTAGATCGATCTATCCCTGTGGGGAGTCTTACTGTCTGCTTAAATGTCTGTCCCGCTTACTAAAAGCTGTAAGGGGGTAATTAACTACCGTGCGCGCTCAGCTGACATTTTAGCGTGAACCTACAGGGAGTTAGGTCTATCCGGATGGATCGATCTTAATCTCTGGGAATGCACTCATAGAGAAAGGTCTCAGTTGCCATATCTGACACTCATTAAGGCTACTAATAAGGTCAGCCCTGAAGAGTGGTCTGGACCCCCCCCCCCCCCCCCCAAAAAAAAAAAAAAAGGTTGGGTTGCTTCATCACTTTTCATATTACGACAAAATGATATGTTTGTTTTACCTTAGGAAGGCATCATTACACCCTGTGTTAAAAACTCCCAAGGCTACATGTACAGTAACACCGCCGACAAATAGAGAGAAGGACCCCAATTTCACACACACACACACACACACACAGACACACACATACACACACAAAAAAAGGAAAAAAATAAGAATAATTTAGTTCCCTGGATACATGTAATGCCACTGACAATGGAAGCATTGCATGCTGTATAGCAGGTTATAAAATTAAAAAAAAAACTCAAATTGGTGCATCAATCCATACAAATCGCCAATGGGAAAATATATAACGGGATGCAACAGAGGACACACAGTTTTCTTAGGACGTGGATATGTACAGCCTTGAAAGGGTGAAATGTGGCTCTACCTGTGATAAGTAGCAAGCATACAAATTACATGTAGTACAACGTACTACTACAGGGCCAAAAACTGAGAGAAGCCCCACCCCCTTGCAAAATACCCTCATGTACTGGTGCTGTTGGTGTTACATTTAAGGCACTGTTGTTATAAGATCAGGAAAAAATAAATCACTTCATTTGTTTGAAACAGTATGTCAACTTACCTTGTTCCAGTTAGCTTAGTTAATACTCCTAACGCTCTTTTTACTGCTGGTGGAAGATCTGTACCGGGGTTGTGCTTAGGATAGGCACAGATATCTGTGTTAATATCATCAGTCATTACCACAGAAATTAAATAAAATACTACACAGTTTCTAAATACTGTCTTCAGCTGCATTGTTAAAATATGTAAGCTGCACGAGTAAATTATCTCCTCAGTCGAATGAAAAGTGAAAGATAGAGGAAAGTCTTGTGCACATCACAACAAAATTTCACGTGACTCTTTCTCATGGTTCCTGATGTGTGCGTACTTCTGATTGGACGACTGGTCACAAAAGCAGCTCCGTCGATATAAAATTACTAGCTATGTTGGAATTATGTAGGGCAATAGGAAAGAATTTCTATTTTTTAATATCATAAGTATCAAAAACTGATAGAGAGGGGGTGTGGTAGATTTATAGCACGTTTTTAAACACATTTAGTCACTTGGAATTCTCTGTTTGCAACGACCAATCACAGTCGATTTGACATGCGTGACATTTAGGGTCTCATAATACAGAAGAGCTCGGCAGGAGAATCCGCTACGACTTCAATCGGCAATCCTCGGCTCATTCCGCAAGCTCCATACTAACTCATTGTCGAGTGCGGAGACATCCGAGTAGTTCCGAGTGCTACGACTTTGCCACGCAGGCGAACAAATGAAATATGAGAGATGAGGGCGGGATGAAAAATTTTACTTTATGAATGAAGATAAATTTATGGTTCTCTTTTACTGTCTCCATATCTCTGCCTTTCCCTTTATTAAAAACTGTCTTTGTTTTTTGTCCTTATTTCTGTAATCTTTTTTTTTTTTTTTCAAAAATAAGTGGGCCTATAGGCCCCACATGTAGGCCCCTATAATGTGCCGGTAGGGGCCAAAATAGATAAATGAATAAACAAATATATAATAAAATAGATAGAAATAAGTAAAATTGTATATAATTAAATGATTTTTCTCCGCACACTTGTACTAGTAGGGCCTATATTGAATAAATGGGAATACTGGTAGGCTTAATGCATAAAGAATTAATGATAATACAATAATGATAATAGGCCTATACCCGGTGCATGTATTGAGAAGATTGCACAGTGATTGCAACCCATTGGATTTGGACTTTAAAATAAATGCACGTGGAATAAAATACTATATTTTACTACTGAAAATTTAAAAGAGCATATGGAATAAAGGAGCATGAGAATCTTTTAAATTTTCAAACGATGTCTACTGAGTATTGTTTGGTCTTCAAAAAGACAAATGGATTGCTGAATTAAGATATAATTCAGTTTGTCAGAGGGTTTGAAGTCATTTTCTAATTGAAAAATTCGCAAAGATCTTCCCTTCGTTTATCTAAAGTAGGCTAAGTATATAATGAACAGGACCAGAGCTTCATCATAAGGTAAATTAAGGGGGAATTACGTTGATCTATTAAATTAATTATTAGAATATTACTTTCGTGTGCTGTACAGGTATGGCAGGAGTGCACGTCCTAGTACTGTTACACCGACACAGACCCGCCAGGATTTCTAAAAAAATTACATGTATTTATAAACTGGTTAATTTATTCAAAGGCCGATAATATTTCAATCCGTCTATCCGTTTTTGGCCTCCTTTACCCAATCAACTAATTAATCCACTTCATTAAAATTATCAATCAATTGACGATTTTCATTTTCTCCATGAGGGAAATTGCACCGTGGAAAAAAAGAGTCCTTTTAATGTCCAAACACATGGAGTGGTAGGCTACTAAGAACGTTAACCGTGCCTGGCTTTACGTGCTGTACGTGTGTCCTAATGCTACAATTCCCATAAGCGAGATCGATACTTGGGATTTTCATATAGCTCCCAACGGCCAAGTCAGAAAAAAAAATATGGGCAGACAACATCAGTAGAGCCGGAAAGAAATGAAAGTTTAGCAGGTTTGGCCAAGAACAGGGCACCGCATTTGCGCCTAACATTTCGAAGGCGGGGAGAAAACCTCTGAATTAACTGAATTATATTTTAATTCAGCAATCCATTCGTCTTTTTTAAGACCAAACAATACTCAGTAGACATCGTGTGAAAATTTAAGACAAAAAAATCTCATGCTCCTTTATTCCATATGCTCTTTTAAATTTTCAATAGTAAAATATATTATTTTTTTCCACGTACATTTCGAAGGCGGGGAGAAAACCTCTAACGATAGAAGACCAACGGTATTTTAATAAAAACCAGAGAGGGTTAATTGTTCTGGGAGACTTTGGCAAGACAACCGTTGCATGTCAGTGAAAAATCTAATAATACAGTAAGAGACGTCGGATGACCATTCCTACTGTTCGCCGCATTCAGACACTAATGCACTGCTAAAATTTGTGAATGACAAAAAAAAAAAAAAAAAAAAAAAAAAAAGGGGGGGTTATTTATAAATTTGGGGACAAAGTACACGATCGTCAATAATTTTCAGAGTAATTGAAGAATATACGATTTGTAATATTATGTCGCACCGACTTGCAACAAGCAAAAAAAGTATGCAGTGGAAAACGATGTGCGGAAAGAACATTATAAAGATATGAAGATTTAAAGATCTGAATGTTGAAGATGATAAAAAGAAAGAAAACACTTTCAGTATGAAGTTATTAAAGGAGAATCCAGAACCTGTAAAGTTTTAGACAGGGTTTGCAACTTACGAAGAAATTCAAGAACTTTCATGATTCCTTGTATCCGGATAGGCCTATTACTGATAGTTTACTATTAGAGTTCAAATTACAAAGACAGAAACACAGAGGAAAATGCAACTGGCACATGGACATGATATGGATCATATGTTGTTTTTTATTTAATGTACAAAAGCCTTAATATTGTCTGATTAAATGTTAAAAATTATCATATGCAGACTGAATATTGTCAGTGTCCTGGCAAGAAAGGGACAATGACCGGGGAAACCAGAACATCTGAAGGTCAAGTAACAAGAATGTAAATATTTTATAAAAATTTAAAACTGTTCCATCACAGATGGATGCCTTCAATCACAGTACACCCCTGACAAAATGATGCCAGACAAGGGGAAAATTATCTCCCATGTTTTTGCCCTCAACTTATATTGAAAATGAACTTGATGAACTGTGACGTCATTCTGGATACATTTTTTTAGTGCAGGTCCCCGCCCTATATAAGTGAATCGAATTACAAAAAATCCGCGAGGAAATGTTAAAATATGATTTCTTGAAATATCACTCAATATTACACACATACACACAAACACACACACACAAACCGACCAAGCATACAAACCAACATATTCCAGAAACCCCCCAAAGGGAAATCCGAGGTACTAAAAACAAGAAAAATAATGAAAAAGAATAAAGAAAGAAGATACAAAAATGAATTCTTATTTTCGTGTTAGCGGTGGTTACAAAACTTCAAAGTTATATTTGTACACCCTAAACGTTGAAAAGAGTGCGTTTTCACCACAGATACGTAAACAAATTAATGGGTAGACGGATAAATAGACGGTTCCTCTGTCTTGTTATGTTGAAATTGTTGAATTGTAATAACAATACAAAGAACAACACTTCTCATGTGGGCTGACGATATCTAAAACAACTGTCATGGTTATACCTTGTGCGGTAAGAGAATATAAGCCTCAGATTATAATTTCAATAAGCTAAATAATCGAGTAATACCAATATCAAATTACGCACTTGTAGACTCCCTGTGGCTACAATACTGCTTAATAATAATAATAATAATAATAATAATAATAATAATAATAATAATAATAATAATAATAATAATAATAATAATAATAATAATAATAATAATAATAATGGCAAGTATATAGGTCCCTTTTTTAAAAATAATATGTTTTTACGCTATTTGAAGTGATTTTCATGAGATGTCATGCATGTATAAACCGTTGCAATTCAGGAAAACAAGTTAACTGATTTTTGAAGAACACATTGTACCAAAGCTAATGTTGCTGAAATGAGCAATTATGTTCAGCACCTTCATTGTCTCATCAGCAAACACGCATAAAATAGATGATCACAGATCCAAATGCAGCATATATTATAGCATAATGGCGCAACAAGCGCGCCCCCTGATCTCAACAACCGCAGCGATTGATTGTGCTCAGTTGTCGCACCTAACACAATGAACACATCTGTTCTTATTTATTTACCCTCACAGAGAATTATATTGCTTCTCGCATTGTCACATTTGGATTAACTTGCGTAGGGTATGTGCCTACGGTTATTCACCTTACACATAATATCTGGATGTGCTGCTTTTCCGTACATACCACAATATATAAATATACTTAAAGTTTTACACTGAAATAATATCCCGATTGTCGACTGCTGCACTTGGTTACTGGTAAATACAGCAAATAACCATTTCCTTATAAAATTTAATGTATTTTTTATATGTTTGCTACCACTGATGTAAGTAATCATTTATAATAAAGTATGTCTTTGCACCAGCGAGTGTCATTCGTCCGTGTCGATTTATTGTATCTTTTATGCTGACTGTATAAATGCATTAATACACGATTAAGGCCGAGAAAAGGAGGGCAAAGTGTTAAATCCTGAACAAAACAAAATATTTACGTGCATTGTTTTTCCTACACAATAGGGACTACAATGCACTGAAGTAGGCTACGAATTTCTGTCTCTCACATTGTACCGTGCCTCATGGTCATCAGAAGACATCACAACAATGTTCACAGCTCCTGGTATTCTCTGACCTGCAAAACGAACCCTCGTAAGTGTCATCTTCTTGTGTCCTGTGGTATGGGTACACGACAGTAAACGAAAACAAATGATCTGCATGGTTGTATTTCCCAGTCGTAACTGTAACAATGTGCGCGAATATCCCTTCGTAGCACGAGTACAAATGGACTTATGTTCCTGTGACGGATAAGCAGAATGCGCGCTGCTTTTATTTATATGTCACACCAAGCACAATTGGTGCACCCCATCTCACCTATCGCAATAGGCGCATGCTTCGTACCACAAGTCACAAACAGCACGTGCTACATTTTCGTCACCTCTTCCTCAATGGTCACCGCAGGCATGGACGCCAGTGTGTGCATCCTTTCAAAGCGTTTCTCTCTTTCTATCATCGTAAACGACATCTGTCGGCTGTAACTCTTATAAATCACACTATCATTGGCCCGTTTTACCACTTTCACGTTCTCCAAGTTCTTTGGGGAGTGTTTATATCGGTGTTCCCTTGCCGGCAAAACTCTGAGATTGCTCCATTTACATATAAATATTGATATGGACACACCCCATGCCAGGAGGATCATGCATATTATTAGAAGGTCCACCGGAAGAAGCATTGCGCTTGCGCGCTTTACCAGCTCGGCATCTGAAAGTAGCAAAGGGAGTATGTATATTAAATTTATAGAAAAGTCAATCTTCCTTTTTTTAAATTAAGTCTTAATCGATAAAAGATAGTTAGAAAAACATATTCAAATTAAAAAAAATGATGAGTCTTTTTTTTAAATTGTTAACAAGCAATTGGAACCATCTTTATATCTTCTAGAATAATTTTGCAAAATGGGCTAGAATAAATCAATAGATTAGTTATAATGAAAATACATGTACATGATAGAATGCGCTGGTCGTTCTCTTCAGTCGTTACTACATGAACCACAAAATACAAAATGTTTTTTTTTTAGATATTCCTTTTCCCCCTTTTTCACAACTAAAACAATGGAACGGTTGTAGAATGCATATATCCCTGTAAAGTTACAAACTGTAGTTGGGGGTGTTCCAAAACAACAGAGTTTTGAATGGTTAGTTCTACAAAATTGTTGAACATCTAAGAAAATTAATTTCTCTAAGTTATGTGCTTCGTCGTTTTTTGTTTTGTATCCAATTGCAACATTTTCCTAGTTTGACAAAAACCAATACACTTAATGAAAAAAAACCTACCATGCTACGACTCTGCAAAATGAAAATAATTAACTAAAAGGAAAATCCTTGCGGGATGTTGTACTGGGGCTAGGGACTATGTCATTAAGCTTAAGCCCTTCCAGTTCCTAAGTTCGGTTTATTGATTCAAAGACAAATCAAAATTATTGGCAATCAGTTTCGATAGTTTATAGTATATGTACTAGTACGGTGTGGTAGCATAAACATTTAGTACCTATTATCCAATAAAAAGCACAAAGCGTACACAGAACTTATAAAAAAGTACTGCGGGTAACCATCTACACGGAGCCTCCGAGGTCGATCCTGCCAATAAATTAACTTAACTAAACATCGGCTCGGCTTACTAACTTGTGGAGAGCTTGACAAAGAAGTTCAAACTTTTTTTATACATGCTAGGTTCTTCCTCTAAGTATACCGGTACAGATATATATATAGCTTAAGTATACATTTCGTCCAAGTTGTTGCCATAGATAGATAGATAGGTAGATGAATCTAATAGATAAATAAGATTTTTCTGAATTGTGAGCCGAAGAAATACAAAAGGAACCCCCGACCAGCGACCTTTTTTTCGCGCTACTATATTAGGTCATGAGACGAAATTAGGTAATTATATATTTATAACACGGACGCCCATATTCATTATCATTCAGTGGTGTGCATATGCCATTTATTCACATTTATTCATTTACATTATGGGCCACAGCGGGGAAGACCATGCGACAGAAATGGTTTTCAAAGGACTGGAGGTCTGTGATCCCATCCGGTATGCCGTGATCCCATTCGGTGGCACTAGTAAAGGTAAAGGTTAGCCGGACGTATAGCGGGGTCAGTGTATAGGACGGATATCATTTGTATGAATTGAATTGATACAGAAAAGCAGACTACTAGTACCATTCCGGTCATAGGGTCAGGGTTGAAATCTGAGTACAAACTAATAAAAAGGAGCATCAGTCACGTGACAGCTATGATAGATCTAACGTATTGCAGAAGTCTGTAAGTCCATTATTTATCGCAAAAGTGGAGGAAACGAAATGATGTCTCAGAATACCACATGTACAACGACGACAGCTCCCAGATAATCTTTTCACGTTATGTCTTTTTGGGCATAATTTCAATCAATACAAAACCGTCCCATATGCATCGTTTTGCGTCACATTTAAGGAGATTGTGTATGCTGAACTACTTGAGCAAATGACATTAAGTAGACTTGTGACATTATGTAGACGAGAGATGAAAAGTAAATCGTTGAAATTGTCGTTTAAGTATTTGCGAGCGTAGACTCTGACACAGACAGTAGGCTTACACCTGGCGGTTGGCCTGCATCAGAAGATCGACGTCGCTGGACTTTGTGTACAGAAAACTGCACTCTCTGTCCGTAGCTGAATACCCATTAACGGCTGCTGTGGGAGATTGATCATTTTCCTAAACAGCATGCGGAAAGCAATTTATCATGGACACACTTTGCCTGATCGTAATGGCGACTAAGTGACGGGCAATTAGTTTTCTTGGTCGACAGTTTGAACTTTGCCAAACGACACGGAGTAATTTCTGTGGTAAAATTGTTAGGATAAACAAATGCTGACTTTACTACTGGGATTCAGTAATTGCTTCATTCTAGATGAAAACAATTTATTGCGGGGGCATTCATATAGATTTGTCATTGCTTCTTTATGCCCATTAGCAACTTTCATTTTTCCCGCTTTCATTTTTCTATACGCAAGCTGTAAATTTTTACGCTATTGTATCTTTGACCAAATTTTAAAATAAAAATAAAAACATTCAAAGAGTTTCATTAACAAGATGGCACCAATATTTTGTCAAAATTACAGCTACTTAGAGTGTACACAAGAGAACTTCACGTGTTATTTGTTTGTACAGTACAAAAGGAATAATAGGTTAAATGCACGTGCATTTCATAAGTCTCGTTCCGGTAGAAAAGAATTCCCCTAGCAACAGTTTTTCCCCCGAACCACATTTCCTTTAAACCGTCTCCGCTATAAGCAATAACCATTACACAACTATACAGGATGTAGGTAGGAGCTCTTTTTGAATTCGCGTATTTTTTTTTTTTTTTTCAAATTTGGGTATAATTGTGGTAATGTGGAAATGTATACTTTCCTGATCAGCAGGTTGGGCATTGATTTTGATTCATTTACACTGAAAAATGAAGGTACAAGGAAACATGTTAGACACTGCATTCTTCGTGTTATTTATCCTTATCATTCAATATAGTTAGCGTGCATGCACGACCCCTTAAAAACATGCAGTCATCACATCTTTTGCTCCTCGTTACAAAAAAAGAAAAAGACTTTCTAAATTAATCAATTTTCATTCTCTTTACACTGAACAGAGATCAGTTGATTAGTTTGTACTTACTGGACCGTGTAAGGAATATCACGATCTCGCTACTATTACTCATCCCTGCTATGAACGCCGTCAGGCTAACTTCGTACTTGGTTCTTTCTAATAACCCGTTTATTCTCAACGCGCTGGTTGTTCCGTCTAGTTCTATCACAGTCCTGCTTTTAGATGTGCCCATGGCCGAGAAAGTTCTGTGACTGAGTTCGAGATACGTAACATTCCATGTGGAGGAGATGTTCCAAGCTATCGTGGCGGCTGTTGGCTCGATGTCAACCACTGTCAAATTGAGGGATATGTGTCCGATATCTGAAAAAAAATTATGCCATATATATATATATATATATATATATATATATATATATATATATATATATATATATATATAAAAGAAATTTACATTTTTGAGATATTGAAAATGGAATGTCATATGCGCCGAGAACACACCCCGAGACGAAAATGCAAACAACGATTGCCAGTAAGATCTCTGGAATGAAATGTTTAGATGTACTTATCGTTATTACGTTGGCGTCCGTAGGGAAAGCTTCCCAGTTATCTGAAATCACTCAAGAGGATACATATTAATGCGAAATTAGCATGTTTAGCGATTTAGGGCACATTCTGTAACGCAACTTTTGACGTGAAGGAAATTAAACAATTTATGGCTTCTGTCGTGTTTCAGAAACAAATAAAACCAATCAAAAGAAACCTATAAAACGCCCATCTTTAAAAAAAGTAAGTTGATAAACTGATTGAAAGACATGTAAGTAGCCAAAATGAAGTAGGAAAGGTAAAAAAATCAGGAACCAATTAAATTTATGAAGAACCAAAGAGGCCAATAATGTAGTTTATAGTTACTATCTATATATCTGTAATTTGTTTTTGTACACAGCATTAAGCAAGCCGTCCTTTCTATATATATAGTATTATAGTAATGTTTTCGTTTTACATAAATACCTTTTGACTGTTATTTCTTTGTGAGCTGAAACAGTTTGTTATAAATATCGGGCACTGTCTTAACAATAAAACCAAATTACTTCTATCTTATTCACACAATATACCTGTACGTAGCAGGTATGTCGGAGCTAGATTCACGCGTGGCGAGTTCCTCAACAAAAACGGTAATATATACTCATCTCTTCGTATTTTTGGTTGTTATGACTTTTATACCCCAATAAACCGTACTCAAAAGCAATCAAAGTCACTGAAATGCTTTTATAGGCCTAACATCAAAATATTTATTACGGCAATGTGTGAATTGAACTAATTACAACTATTCATTAAGTAGTCTAAATTGTCTGTATGACCAGATATCTCAGGTAAGAATTGCTTCCCCGTGTGTTCCACGCAGTATTTTTCTAATATAACAGCCATGTTATCAAATACAGTGAGAGATGCTGTTTATTAGGGTGCATTTATCAGTTTAATGTTGCCAGTAGATAGAAACTGCCTGGGTTCTAGTACCCATGGAGTACTTCGATTGAGATATACGCTATCCAGTGGGGTTGCGTTGGCAACACCACAGCCAGAATGGTTAATAAATCGAAACAACTTCTGGCCGATATCAGATATAAAACTCAATAGCTTGCGAACTTGTGATCCCAGTTAAGAAACAGTAATGGCTTATAGACAAGAAGGAATGAATTAATTCCAAGATGACAAGAATGTCGCAGGGATGAATCCGCTTAGCCGGGGGTTGTCTGTCTCGTTGCCTAGCAGCCTCTCCATGGTAACCATAGGCTGTGCTCTAGCAATCAACTCAGATTTAGTTTTTTATTCTCGTAAATCAAGATTGTCGACTGCTACAAAATGCAGACACAGAGAAATGTCACAAAATAATTGAAAAAGTTAGCAAATAGTTATGGGTATGTTTATGTTTATGCCAGATTATCTATTCTTCCTTAAATTTACTTGACGGATTTTCTTAAATTTAAAAGTAAAAGAGGGGGGATTGAAAGGTATGGTCACGGTTACCATGGTTTCCAGGTGTCAAGAGACTCAACGCCTACGCTCTCACAAAAAAGGCAGTTAATGGCATAGCACACATAGTTGTGTTATCCAAAAATGTTTGGAGGTATGGTTATGAAAACAATGGCGTATCTTTACACGCAGAAAAAACGTTTCAACGCCGGCATGTTGGCAATATCGTGTTCTAATACCAGAAATAATTGCGTCACGTAAGTTTTTATTCTATTGCGCAAAAATACAGATTATGGCTGCTTAGCATTCCCATGTGAGAATTTAGCACCTGAAAAAATTGACCTTATTTCCACGACAGAAAATAATCAACCGCTGTAGTCCTAATAAAATATAAGGTTCAGATTTCCAGCAGAATCGATTGGAATCAGAGGAAAAAAACTTTGTGCTATGTTCACATACAAAATGTCAAATGAATTTGATGCAGAATATCCACCTTCACATCAATGTTCTTCATCCAAGAGATTTGCACTTAATCTTCGTGATATCAAATAGCAGGAAACAAGACTATAATTCGACCATGTATATTAATTGCATAATACCTTCACAATTTTCCAGAACAAATACTTCGCCATAGTGGATCGAATTTGTGCGTACAGCATTGACCTACACAGATTCACCCGTTCATCCACCAACGCCGTAAATACTAATAGTATTAGTAATAGTTTTTTTTCCTAAAATACGGTAACAACCCACGATATTTCTTTTTAAATTTTGAACAGAAAAGTGAGGCGTCACCTAATTAAGTCTTTCACGGTGCCGATACTCATGTACGCGTACGTACGTCTTGCTTATGACCATCGTAAGGTGATCAAAGATGTGAATATCATTAAAAAACACACACCCGCCAACATACGAACTCAGACACAAACACACATGCGTGTGTACATACACACACTCAAGCACGCCTGTGGTCGCATCTCAAACTATTTTATCTATTATCCAAAACACAGCGTGCATGTCGTGTGACACAACACCCTCAACAGTTACAAACGTGACGTTGATGTCTACTGGATAAGTACCCTAAAAACTGCACCGACACACACCACCCAGACCATACTCCTAGCAAACACAGAACGTTATTATAACGATAACATAATGTTTATATTAACCAAAAACGTTACGGTAACGTTATGGTAACGTTAGAAAACGCTCTGTGTTGGATTATACTTGCGTGTTACAGTTTCAAGCGACAACTACAGTACGACACCAATGTGTCTCCCTGCCGATCCAAACCAGTTCAATGACCTTCCCTGCAGTTGACTTTTAAAAAACACAAAGTCAAATTCACTTTCACTAATTCCAGTCCATATGTCTTCAATCTGTCTCCAAGTGCGATGAACACAATTCTGCCAAATGCGAGCGCTTCAATGATTTGAAAGTCTCTGCGTGTAAAAGATACGGTGATCCTCAAAACTGTGGGAACACTATAACCACTGGTTGTAATTGTGAAGACGCTATTGCGGTCTTATCACGTATTCGTTAAAACTGATACAAATACTTATGAGAGACCCTGTTTGTTCAGTCATGTGTTTATGCAAAGGCTATTTGAAAAGGCTCTTTTGATCAAGGGTATGGTCATTTTTCTCATTACATGTCGGCACTTGTCTACAAGAAAATGATAAATGGAATGCATTTGGTAAACTCTGTACGTAGAAGTTAATCTGAACCTATTGGTGGATGGCAACGTGATTATTGGTTTAAGAAACACAGTTAAAGCCTCAGTGCGTTTCTCGGCACGTTTATATTTAATAACACTGTGAGGATCGTCACGATTTGAATCTGGAAACACGACGCAAAGTTTGAACACAATGAGATTAATTGTCGATGTTCTTTAGTGTTACACTGCATTCTTTTTAAAGGTATTAGAATAAGGCCCAAGGAAACACGACTTTAACCTTACGGGTGCATGTCCACGGAATAAAAACTACTGCTTAGCTTGTTTAAAAAAAACATTAACTAACTGATTGAGGTACACCTGTTCACTAAAACAATCAAAGGGATAACAACCGGTCGTTTTGCTCACAAAATCGATTTTCTCGGGGGAAAAGGATGTTATTTCCATACTTACCAATGGTTGGTGAATCCATTCCGACATTCAAAGTTAGTCCATGTTTTTTTCCTAATTTTCTTTTGTAATTACCTCTTAAGAGATTATTAGGGAGATATAGCCATCTGTGAAGGACCACGTGGTCTGATGGCAAGCACAGATTCTTGAATAATTACCATAACCGACATTTTGCTGGTAAAATGAAATTTGTTATATTTTTATGAGTTTGTTTACAGTATTTTTATTGCGAAATATAAATCTCATGCAAACAGTTGTTATCCCTTTTATTGTGAATGGATGAAGGGCGTTCATTGCTATGCAGCCAGGTTTTATTATTAGGTAACTTTAAAGGTTCAGTCATGCGCTTCCGTGTTGGCAGAAGATAAAATACCAGTAATTTATTATTTTCCTTTTCAATTCAAACAGTGTGTTTCAGAAAAACGTGCATCTTGTGCTATTTATTCACTCTTGATTTTGTGCATTTTCACAACAGTCTCATCTACATGACGTCATCTCGTAATTATTGTGAAATCATATATGACGTCACATATTTGCCATGGCAATATCGTTTTCCTCTCTGTATGTGTGCTTGCATCTTCAGAATAAGAAAGTCACATATGTACATGTATGACTATGCTATGGACGTTATTAACAGTGTTCATTCAAGTCGATCATACAAATTAATACTACATGTAGTACAGAAGCGCCACAAGATAAAATAGAAAAAGGATAACTAAGTTTTCAATTTGTGGAGTGTGGTTAATGGTTGAGATATGGCGATAGCATGGAAGAAACAACTTTGATAAATCATTCATGAAGAGTAGGTCTACTGCCTCGGATGTCAATTTCGAAGAAACACCTCCGCTGAGTTGTGCTTCTAGGGGTCTGACATTTTAAGGTAACACTTAAAGAAATCGGCGCTTAATCTCACGGGAATCTAAGAAAATATGGCATATTGCTAAATGGATTTTATTTTGACGTGTCCTTTTGATAAGTTTCAATCACGATAGGAGGAAGTAGTCAACAATTCTCCAAGGGGTGAAGAAAAGTCAAATAAAACAGATTATATTTCGTTGATATAAAGCTAAATACTTCATGGTATAGAGCAAACATTTGTTACGATTGAAACAGCTTGTATCAATTTTGCTGTTTCATTTTCATGGAAAGATCGGGGTGATCATTTTGTGGTCAAAGCGAGGCGTATGAGAAATTTCTGAAGGGAAATTTATTTATTTATTTGCCAGTTTGTATATTGACTGATTACGATTTACACAGCACAAGT